CTCCTTTTCGCAATAATCCAGTTTGGATCAAGTCCACTCGTCTGCCTACCACTACTTTGTTGTTAAGTAATGCTCCTCTATGATTTTCTTGATGTGGGTTAAAATACACAACCTGTATATAAAGGCAAAAACACAAAGGTTATGCTTCTTTACTTACGCACACACTACTTTCTGTCACAATAATCATGACATTAACTAAATAGAAATGGACATTTCGACTAAAGTTATCGAGAAGATTGAGAAAGCGAGAACAGACTTGTACGATCTCTGTGTGCAAATCCATGGGTGCCATGCCATCATGGTCTGCAAGTGACCATCCTTTTGTAGCTTTTCCTAAAGCGATACCATTTTTTTTCTTTTTAATTTCTTAAGATGTTAAATACTAAATACTTAGGGGAGCTGTCCTATCCTTCAATTTATCATCTACCTGATCATCACTTGCTGAATTACTTTTCCATAATTAATAAGCTGCCTAGATTTCCATTATATATATATATATATATGTATGTATGTATGTATGTATATGTTTCTTCAATTCAAACAATGACAGTACTGATCAGTTTTTGCTTTTTTTCCCACCATCCAAATACGACCAGACTATAAATATTCAAGAATAACCTAACAAACACAGATATGTTAAAGACAATTGGAACGCACAGACTCGGTAGTTGAGTATCTTAGAAACAATTATGGGGGGAAATTGTCGCTATATGTTTTGCTCAAGATTTGTTGCAATTTCAGGTTCCAACAGGGATTAAGTTTCTCATCCTTACACTTGTTGTGCAGTTGATAATGTTGACTTAACTTTTATCATATACCTTTTGCATGTGTTTAAGGTCTGCTTTAATTGGCACCAGCTTAATGTAATCTAGTGCTCATGTCAAATCCACTAGTACTCTTCATTGTTAATAAAATGCCAGCAGGTGTGGCTCGGAGAGAGAGAGATAGAGAGAGTCCATTTTGTACTTCTAAGGTACCGGTTGTTTACTGATTGCGGCTGCATTTTAATTAAAATGTAGTTCGTAGTTGTTTGGTAAAAAGAAAAATTAGTTTATTGTATATGAATCCCATGTAATTTTAATGTTTAAAACGTAATTAATAAAAACCAGATAAATGCTGCTTTTCATTGTACACGTTAATTGTACTGTTCAATAAATAGTGAAATTAACATAAACAGTGCAATTCACTGCACTGTATACAGTAAATTGCACTGTTTACGTGAATAGTGCAATTCACTTGAACTGTTCCTAGAGTTTTTTTTTTTTTTATTT